GTGGGACCGCCGGCAAAGCACATGGGCCGGCACAGACTGGAGGACCAGGGAGAAAAGGACCGCCCCTAGAGGCGACGCACACTACGCCGACAAGCGACAGCGAGGAAGGGACTTCGACCGCAAGCGACGCCGTCGGGTCTGGCCAAGACGCGAGGTCTCTGCTCCAGGCCCAGGAAAGGCAGACCCCGTCATCGAGGGCCACGCGGCCAAGGGTCCTGCGCCCCGTCCCTGTCCTGCCCCCTTTGCTCCCCGTCGGGCGCTTCTCAATGCACGTCTACGGCTCGAGCCTCATTCCCCACTCACGGTGCCCCAGGCCGCGGCTTTGCCCACCTTCCCCCCGTTCATGTCGATACTCCATGTTGCCACTCAGCCTGTCTCGGAGCGCAACGCGTGCTTTCTTGTGGACAACGACCTCGGTCAGCTGGGTGCAGCTTCCACCAAACTATACAGAGTGGCATCCATCGCGCTGACCCTGTGGGCCATATGGGCCCCCGACGTGCCATGCGGGGCTCAATGGGTCGGCAGCCCCATGGTCCTCGAGCGCCCTTTTGCGGCCCACAGACACGCAACTGGTGAGGACTAGATGGCGCGGACGGAAGACCCCCCCAGGCCACATCGACCAAGAGCTGTCCCGTGACCAAGGGCGGCTCGTTTCACCGCAGTGACAGGCAGCAGCCTTCATACCCGCGTCACCTCCTGGGAGTGAGGTGCACAACTCACACTGCGTATAGACTCCCACAGGTCTTCGTGGGCACTTAGCTCGCGTGGCATGGCTGCAATAATCCTGCCCACGGCTCACTCTGGCCTTGTTCACGAGGACATGGGCCCGATCGGCCCGCCAGGGCGCGCACCTTGGACGGCTGGGCGGCAGGCCTAAGGCGCCCCCCCCCCCCCCCCCCCCCCCCCCCCATGCGCTCCGCACCCTCGACGTCCGACTGCCCCGCGCTGCTGGCGTTCCCCCACCAGGCGGCGCCGCGCGCCGACGACGCACCGACCACGCGTGTTGGGTCCTCAACAACGGTGCCAGCCTCTGGCCCCTCTCCCCTCGTTTATTCAAATGTTCTGCGGCTATCGGCTGCGCCTTCCCCCCTCCCTCCTGACGCCCTCGACGACTGTGGCGACTGACCGACGACGTGGCGTTCGCAAGACCTGCTCCACACAGGCAGGGGCCACCATGTTCATCGGAAGTCCCTTGGCTGCCCACAGGCAAGCTTCGGGTGATGGGATGACGCCGGGGGCGGACGGCCCTCCACGGGCCGCAACGGCCGTGGGCAGCCCCTTCATGAGGGGGGTTCGTTTCACCGCAGTGGCAGGCCCTGGCCTTAATACACGTGCTACCTCCTGGGGGCGGGGTGCACTTTCACACTGCGCTTAGTGCCCCACGGTACTCCGTGGGCTCTTAGCCCGTGCGGTCTGGCTGCAATAACTTTGCCCACGGCTCTCTTTGGCCTCGCAGGAACACGGGCCCGTGTCGCCCGCTGGGGCGCTCTCTTTGGATGGCCGGGGCGGCAGGCCGAAGGCCCCCCCCATGCGCTCCACGCCCCCGAAGTCCGACGGCCTAGCCCACGTGGCTTCCCCCCCCCCACGACGGCGCCACGCGCCAAGGACACGCCGACTTCACGTGTTGGGTCCTCGTCTGGTGGCGTTAGCATCCTACGCCTCCTCTCCATGTATTCAAATGTTCTGCGGCTATCGGCTGCGCCTCCTCTCCTCCCCTCCTGACGCCACCGACGACTTCTGAGGGGTGACGACACCGTGCAGTGTGGCTCTGGCCAATGCCTTGGGACACCTCCTGGGGATGAGGTGCTTCCCGTTCACACTGCGTGATGGTGCTGTGCTCGCCTTGGATGGCGGGGGCTTTCTGCCAGTGGCATCTTGCTGGCCCGGCCTTTCCACGTCCTGGCCGTTCCGCTTTTCGGCGCCGTCGCCCTGGAGTACGACTTCCAGTTCATGTGGTGCATACTGTGCCAGGTTCACGCTTCTCCTGGCCGACGTTTCCCCCCGGCGTTGCCGACCTGACTGACGCTGGGCACGGTGATGTGGTGTCCACCTGTGATTGGACCTGTGTCGGCTCGCCGGCGAGCACATGGTGCTCCGTGAGTGAGACCCCCCGCCTTTCCCCCTCTTCTTCGTTCTTCCGTCGCCTCGCTCCCCCTCCCCCGCCGTTTTTCCGTCGCCCTGCTCGGCGCCTGGCGTCCTTGTACTGGTGCAGCGTCGCCACGCGCGGCTCGTCTGCTCGTTTTTCCCAATTTGTTCTGCATGTGCACAAATTATCTGGCTCTGTGCCCCTGTTTGCCTGATTGGCACGCCCTCTGGACTTTTCCTTGCGGGCCGCAGAACAAAAAACGTATCCCCACCAGCCCATCCAAAAACGATGCCCAGGCGAATTGCGGTGATCAGGGAAGTGAGGGATCATACATAGTAGCAAAGGGCTGGGGGACCTGTCTTACCCAAGAGGGCGAGGATGGAGGAGGAATCGGAGGAGGATGAGGAGGAGGAGGGGGGGGGGGGGGGGGGGGGGGGGAGGGGCAGCAGGTGGGAAACGTGGGAGGAGGGAGGAGGGAGGAGGGGGAATCGGCGAGGAGGAGGAGGAGGATGAGGAGGGGGAGGAAGAGAAGAGGGAAGGAGGAGGAGGAGGATGAGGCTGATAGAGTGGAGGAGAAGGAGGAGGAGTAGGCCGACAAGGAGGAGGAGGATGAGGAGGAGGAGGAGGAGAAAAATGAGAAGGAACAAGAACGATGACGTGCACAAAAGCCTCCCAGGATGTCCCTTGGAAGTTGTTTGGGAGTCCTCTTGGAGCGCCTGGGGGATTTTTGGATGATGCCTCGGGGATCCTCTTGAGGCCTATTGGGGGTCTAGGGAGCCTCTTGAGGACCTCTTGGGGACCTCTTGGGGCCTCCTGGGCGCCTCTTGGGGCCCCTCTTGGGGCGCCCCTGGGAGCCTTGGGAGCGCTCTTGGGGCCATCTTGGAGGTGATCGATCAAAGGAAGGCCCCCCCCCCCCAATTCTTTACGCTTCGCGTATCCCCACCAGCCCATCTCACAGCAGCAACTCTCGCGAAGCATGCCGACCGTCGTGTTTTCAGGCGTGTGTCCGCTTGGCCCCGCATATCTCCCCTGTTCTTCCTTCCTCCCGCCTCCTTGTACATCCGCCTTGTGGGGGGAGCGGGAAAAGGATGAGGCGAAGGAGGAGTGAGAGAAAACGCTCCTCGTGGTTTGAGTCGTTGGGGTTTCTCGTCCTGGTCCGAGTCGTTCGGGCCCTTCTTCCTGGTGTGAGTCGTTCGGGCTCTTCGTGGTGTGAGTCGTTCGGGCTCTTCGTCCTGGTGTGAGTCGTTCGGGCTTCTCGTGGTGTGAGTTGTTCGGGCCCCTCGTCCTGGTGTGAGTCGTTCGGGCCCCTCCTCCTGGTGTGACTCGTTCGGGCCCGCGTCGTGGTGTGAGTCGTTCGGGCTCCTCGTGGTGTGAGTCGTTCGGGCGCCTCGTCCTGGTGTGAGTCGTTCGGGCCCCTCCTTGTGGTGTGAGTCGTTCGGGCTCTTCGTGGTGTGAGTCGTTCGGGCTCCTCGTCCTGGTGTGAGTCGTTCGGGCTTCTCGTGGTGTGAGTCGTTCGGGCCCCTCCTCCTGGTGTGACTCGTTCGGGCTCCTCGTGGTGTGAGTCGTTCGGGGCCCGCGTCGTGGTGTGAGTCGTTCGGGCTCCTCGTGGTGTGAGTCGTTCGGGCGCCTCGTCCTGGTGTGAGTCGTTCGGGCCCCTCCTTGTGGTGTGAGTCGTTCGGGCTCTTCGTGGTGTGAGTCGTTCGGGCCCCTCGTCCTGATGTGAGTCGTTCGGGCTCCTCGTGGGGCCTCTTGGGGGCCTCTTGGAGCCTCGTGGGGCCTCTTGGGGGCCTCTTGGGGGCCTCTTGGGGGCCTCTTGGGGGCCTCTTGGGGCCTCTTGGGGGCCTCTTGGGGCCTCTTGGGGGCCTCTTGGGGGCCTCTTGGGGGCCTCTTGGGGCCTCGTGGGGGCCTCTTGGGGGCCTCTTGGGGGCCTCTTGGGGCCTCTTGGGGGCCTCTCTGGGGGCCTCTTGGAGGCCTCTTGGGAGCCTCCTGGGGGCCTCTTGGGGCCATCTTGGGGCCTCTTGCGACCTCCGCAGAAGCGCAAAGGAGAGCTGCCCCCTGAGAAGGACAAAATGAGGCCAAAACCTTCGTAACATCAATGATTTTGCTATGAGGGAAGAGAAGCGCGGCCCCCTCAGGAGGCCAAAATGGGGCCAAAACCCTAGTAAAATCAATGATTTTGGCTTCAAAGAAGAGCAGAGGGGCCAAACTCGGCCCCCCCTGTCGGGGCCAGAATCCTCGTGAGGGTCGTCGTTTTTTGCCCCTCCCAGGAGTCGAAAAAGACCCCCTTGAAAACACCCGGGACTCCCTGTCCAGGCCCAGGGGGAGGGGGTAGGGGGAGGGGTAAACCCCTCCCCGAAGGGGAAAAAGGGGGGTTGAGGACAGAGCGGGCTCTCTAAACCACTCACGCCCAAAGGGCTGGTGGGATTAGCGCCCCCCCTCGGGAGCCTCTAAAATCGCCTCTTGGACGCTCTTGGAGCGCTCTTGGGCGCTCTTAGGGCCGTCTTGGGGCCATCTTGGGCCCCTCTTGGGATTCTGGGCCTTCTTGGAACCATCTTGAGGCCTCGAAAGGCCATCGGAAGCGAAAGGGCGAGAAAGCAACAAACATTGATTTTCCTTAGGTTTTGGAGCCATTTTGGCCTCTTGGGGGGCCTCCTTGGGAGGCTACGTGGCCAATTGGAGTCGTCTTGGGGCGGTCTTGGGGCCTTTTGGAGCATCCTCGGGGCCATCTTGAGGCGTCTTGGGCTGTCTTGGGCCATGTTGGAGGTCATCTTGGGCTCTCCGAGGCCCTCTTGGAGCCATCTTGGGCCATCTTGGACGCTCCCAACTACCAGCGAAACCCCCCGTCCAGATCCAGGGGAGGGGGTTAGGGGGAGGGGTAAACCCCTCCCCGAAGGGGAAGAAGGGAAGATGGAAGAGGTAACTCCCTGAACCACCTACGCCCAGAGGGCTGGTGGGATTAGGGGTCTGTCGAGCGATCGGGCCTTCGCCTCTGCCGCGGGAGTAGCCGCTTGGGAGCGCTGTGAAACTATTGTGGGGTTGGCGCCCCTTGACGCGGCGCGTTGAAGGTGGGCGCGCGGTGTGATGTCGCTCCGGTGCCCGCCGCGGTGGGGAGTCGTAACCTTCGGTTCCTTCTTTTAAGTTGCAATCCGCCTGCTGTTTCGGGCGTTTGATTCGAGCTACTGCGCGCAGCTGGCGCTTCGTTGCAGGCATGCAAGGAGGCGTCCGCCGCCCGCGCGCGCGCTGCCATGTCGTCCGTCAACGTTACGGACCAATCGTCCCAAAGGCCTTCGTGAAGAGGTCCTCTGAGCTAGGGCGAGAGGATCGGGATATTTCTCATAGGTCAGGTTATCGCCATCATCTGCCTGCAGACAAGCAGGAAACAACATAAGGAACAGGAGGAGGATGAGGAGGATGAGGAGGAGGGAGAGAAAGAGGAGCGAGGAGGAGGAGGACGAGGAAAAGCGACGAGGAGGAATAGGCAGAACAGCGCGGAAAAGGAACACATAATAGGACGCGGGGCGATGAGCATAGATGAGTAGTGAGGAGGAGCGTTGAGGACACGGAGGTAAGACAGGTGGATGAGGGGGAGGTGGAAACATGATAAGAAGCGTGGGAGTGGAAACAGGGATCAACAGTACGCAGAAACATGCAGCAACTTGCTTCACCAAACAGCAGCAAACAACGCCGAGCAGCATCATGCAGCCGCGAACGACGGCAGCCACCATCATCAGCAACAGGGCGCTCAAACAATAAGTCTTCCCGTTGTGCTTGGAATCGGTTTTACCAGGGCCCGCTGTATTCTTTAAGCCACCCAGGGCATTCTTGAGGTGAGGAAATTTGGTTTGAGGAAGTTGAAGGTTTTTTCGGGCCGAGGAGCCTCGCGCGCACATCGTGGCGGACTGATCAGTTTTGTGTTGTGAGACCTTTTGGCGACAATAACAGATGCGTTGCCGCGCATATCCGCCACCGCGCTTGGGCAGGCAACCGAGCGAGGCTGGGAGTTCGCTTGTGTTTTGGAAACTCGGTCTTGGAAGCCTCGTGGGCCCTGTTCGGGTTACATTGAACATTTCGGGCCGTCTTCTTTCCTGGCCGCCTCTTGAGGGACTCCTGAAAACTATACCGCTCTTGATCGCTGATACCTCTGAGCCGTCTCTTGATCGCTGATACCTCTTGAACCACTGATGCTATTCCTGGCCGTCTCTTGATCGCTGATACCGCTGAGCCACCATATCGCCGAAGGCGATCACAGCCGCGCGTGCCGGAGCGTTGCGTGGCGAACGGTTGATTTCCAGGAAAGAAACTGTCTGGAATTTAATGAATCTTCCATACTTCGTTGATGGTGGGCAAGGAAGAGACATGAAAATGAATAGCTTCATTTGCCGACGTCGTTTTGTTTAGTGTGCCGACGCCCCCACTGCGGCTTATTTGGGGTCTCTTCTGGGCCTTTGGGGGCAGTTTTGGAGACTCTCGGCGGCTTTCGGAGGCTTCTTGGGGCGTGTTGGGGTATCTTTGTGGCTTCCGCTCTCGCTTGGCTTCGTGGGGGCCTTCTGGAGCTTATTGCCTGCTTCTCGGAAGTTTCTTGGGGGCCTACCGGGAGCTTCTCGGGGGCCTCCCTTTGCAGCATTTTTTTTTTTTTTTTTTTTTTGTTTTTTTGGGGGGCCTGTTGGAACTTCTTTGGGCGTCGTGGGGGCCTCTTGGGGGCCCCGTGGGGAGCTCCTGGGCCGTCTTGGGGCGACCTGGACGGTTTCCGGGGCCACCGTGGACGGAATCGCACCCACAAGCAACGATTATGCGAAAATTGTAAAACCATATGTTAGCCAGCGTTGGCCCCACACAGCGTGAGCTAGCATACTAGGTGATGCAAGCGATGTGGTGCAAGCTATATGGTACAGGCTATTTTAAGCAAAATATTCGGTGCGATCTACTTAAGCCCATACACCTCAATGTAATGCAATGCGTATTTATCAGTACAACGTAATCCAACTTAATGCAAGTCAGTGCAACGCAATGCAAAGCAACACAAAGCAATGCCAAGCAAAGCAAGGCAATGCAACGCAATGCAACGCACTGCAAAACAATGAGCACCAACGCAAAGCAATGCAACGCGATGCAACGTAATGCATACCAATGCGCATCAATGCAAAATAATGAAAAGCAATGCGGAGCAATACAGAGCAATACAATCCACGGCGTAGCAACGCAAATCAATGCAAAAACAATGCAGCGCAGTGCAAACAGCAGCGCGATTGCGGTTCAATGACGCAAATGCAAAGCAATGCAGAGCAAAACAAAGCAATGCAAAGCAATCCCAAGCAATGCCAAGCAATGAAAAACAATGCAAATCAATGCGAAGCAGTGCACAGCAGTGTGGGCGGCGACGAGGCGGCGACGCCGGCTACATGAAGGCCAGAGCGGCCTGCAGGCCCAGGCGACGGGCCGCGACGGGCGGCGGCGAGGCGGCGACGGCGGCCACCTGGTGGCCAGAGCGGCCCTCAGGCCTGGTCCCTGAGATGAAAATTAAGAACCCCTAAGTTCGGGGGGGCGCAAGACCCGGGCAAGCCGGGACGCGAGTTTCGCGCGGGAATTGAACAAATTAGTTGCGAACGCGCGTCGGTTACATTCCGCGACGCGGCGCTGCTGGAGGGCGTTTTTTCGGCAGGATCGCTATAAGCTCTAGTGAACCGAGTGATGCCTGGGACAGGGTTCAGGGGCTGTTGAGGGCCTCTCGAGGCCATCTGTGGGGCTGGCGCGGGGGGTACACAGGAAGAGATGGACGAAGCAGGAGGCAACGGGAGGAGAAAGAGATGAGGGGAGGTGGGACAACAAGTGGAGGGGACCATCGCGGGGCAATGAATAATCAGGGGAGGGTCCGTCAAAGAATTTTGACGCGGGGAGTCGGGCCGGTCATGCCGCCGACGTGGGCCACCGTCCGCTCGTCAAAAAAAAGTGGTGCTCGTCAAATTTTACGCGCCAGAATTCTTTGATAATGTCTCGAGCAATCGTCGTCGTCAAATTTTGGTTGGGCCTCGTCAAATTTATGATGGCCTCGTCAAATTTGATGTTGGGCGCGTCAAATTTTGACGTCCTCGTCAAAATCGGTTGGGGGGTCCAGATGCTCATGGCAGGCCTGTCCCATTTGATGTTTTGGAACGTTTTTTGTGTTCTCTGGATTCGCAGTGGTAGTCGTAAAATGCGGCACGAACAAATCTGAAACTAGAAAGGAAACCTTTCGCACTTGATAGGGACATACGCGCGCGGGCGCACGTGTAGCACGCTTCGCGAGCGAAGCGGCATGCCATTCAATGTCTTCTTGATTGCATCGTTGAGAGTGGTGCGAGTCGTTGCAGCAAGGGGCCAGGGCATTCGATTGGACGCGGCACACTTGCATCGGAGCGCCCCAAAATTTTTGACGGACCTCTTCCGTCGTACCCGGGTCCTCCGTGGCGGCTGGGGGCGTCCTGGAAGTCGTCGTGGTGCCCTCGAGGGCTTTCTTGGCGGCCTCTTCGGGCCGTCTTGGGGCCATCGCTGTCGTCTTCGAGGCTATGTTATGCCGTCGTGGAGGCCAGAGAGAGAGAGAGAGAGAGAACGAGAGAGAGAACGAGAGAGAGAGAGAGAGAGAGCCAGCGTGTTCGACTTACAGGCAATAGTGTCAAGGGCCCGACGCAGACCATCCGCTGCAAGCGCGGTGGGGGATCTTAACCCCAAGATCCCAAACTTCTGACAATCATGCGATGTGCAGATTGCCTCATGACGCTAATGATAACGCAGCTTTCAGTTGCTGAAGACTGATCTTCGTAGCCTGGTGGCCCCCACCAGGGTGGTTGGCGGATTACTACAGAGCAGTGATCAACCTTCCCAGGAAGGGTTTTTTGTCTCACATGATTACTTAAGATCATGAGCTAACCCCCGAGGGCTGGTGTGATTCGCCTCAGTCTGTCGCCATGATTTGTCCAGGGGCAGCTCGGTCTGAACAGGAGAAGAGGGAAGGTCCAGCGAGGCCTCCGAGTATGCTGGGTCGCGCGAGGCCATGCTGCGTGTCCTGTCATGGAACAATTGAGGTTGGCGAGACGAGTTCTGGCGTATCCTCCCCGCTAATCCTTAACCCTCGCTAGTCCCTAACCCGCCCCCTGATCTCTGCCGCAGTGGCTCTGGTTCCTAACGCGTCTGCCATGATGGCGTGTCTTTCCGACACGCTTCCCCTTTTTTGAACCACCAGTTGATCCCTTTCTTTCCTCAACCTTGTCTTCATAACTCTTCGCGTGTTTTCACCTTCGGCATTCCATGACCTACTTCTCCTGCAATTTTCCACCCTCCCTCATTGGTGCCTCTGGCCATGCGCCCTGTGCTTCCCCTCCGTGGCTCCTTCCCTGCATTGGCCTCCTGGTCGCTGCGCCGGCTGCCTTCGGGCTCGTGGGAGACCTGCTTGGATAGGCAGGCCCGTCTGGGCTCGAAAAGTGAGTCCGGCGCCCGCCCCCCTCCCCCTTCCCCCTCCCCTTGCCTTCCATTCTCTCCCTTCCCCTTCTCGTTCCCTTCCCCGTCCTCTTGAGACAGAGAGTGGCAGCTGTACGTCCTTTCATGTCAGCGTCATTCAAATTACGAGCACGCGCGCTGGAAACATCCTTGCGCACGGAGGGATCATGCCGAATCCACAGGGTGCCTTTTGGGTCAGTGTTGCCCCACGTTGGCCTGGACTCACTTCGCACAATTGCGGAAATTCGTGATGCTTCGCGTGTCCCCGCCCCCGTAGCCCCCCTCTGGCTCAAGGCCGTCTCTGGGCCCTGGCCCCTCGGCCGGGTCTCCCAGCCCAAGGGGGCATCTTCTAGGAGTTTGCGGGCCGCGCGCTGCCCCCGGGCCGCGCCTCGGCCATATCAGACTCCCTGGATTACACCTCCCACAGCGGCGCGGCGCGGCAGCCAGCCTGCCAAGTCAGGCTTAGCATGGATGGGAACCCGATTGGCGACAGATCTAGGATCCCTGGGAACCCTGCGGGTGAAGATGGAAGCCTAGTGTCTTCCCAAGGCCCTTGAGGGCCCGTGGTGTGTTCTCCCCCTCTGGTCCCTTTGGATCTCTCCCCGCCCCCGTGGTGTAGCCACTTTGGCTTAGGCGCTTTCAACCGTGTGCCCGTGAGGTCGCGGCTCGGAGAAAAGCCCCGTCTCCGCTCGTCCTTTTTCGACTCGCAGATCCATGTGTCCATTCTATCAGTGACAGTGGTAAGCGGAGCGATGTCGGAGAGGCTCGCGGAGACCATGGGCGTTCCAGGCGCGGGCGATCACGAGCAGCAGAAGGGAGTGCAGGAACACGAGCAGCAGAAGGGAGTGCAGGAATATCAGGAGCCACTAGCAGACGCGTGGCAGTCACTACCCACACCAGAGAGAGTTCGTCGAGGTCAAGATGACCCCTCGACCCAGGCAGATGCTCAGCAGTCATCAAGTTCTGCGGGTCAGGGGGCTGATCCGTGGAGCGGCTGGAGAAGCTCTTGGGAATGGAAGGGGTGGTGGCAGGCCAGCGAGCACGACGCCTGGAGAGATGACGGCTGGGGATCTTCGTCGGCGGCCTGGACGAATCCCCACACGGCTCCGAACAGAGATTTTGGCGCTCCCCCTCCTTGGTTAAACTTCGAGAACCTCGAAACGTACAGGCATAATGTATTAGCATGGACTCGACGTACCGGCTTTAGGCCAGAGACTCAGGCAGGACGTATTCTAGAAGGCCTCCCAGTCGAACTACAGCTTAAGTTTCGAACGATCCGGGCCGATCTCGACTCGCAGGACGGCATCGACCGATATTTGAAGCACTTGTCACTATTGAACGGCGAGCGGCCTGGAGATCGCGAGAGGTTGGCACATAATGCAGCGCTGTTCAATTACATGATCAAGAAGGGAGAGTCGATCACGGAGTTCGTTCTGAGACGCGACGCAGAGATTGCAGAAGCGGAACGATACGACTTGGCCTTGCCGGATCAGATCAAATCGAGGTATCTCGAGGAAGGCGCTTGTCTTTCAGCGCAGAACAAGATCAACATGCGCACGCTGGCAGGAGGCAGGGGCGACTTCAGTTCGATACGGGCCGCAATTCTGAAGTTGGACGTCAAAGATCAGCCGATCCTGCCGACGACGCACACGCCCGTGACGAAGGCGTTTGCAGCCGAGGTCTCAGAGGAGGTTCCCCCGCCGCCGGAGCCGTACCAGGACGAGGCTTTCTTGACTGAGATCGACGACTCCGTCGAGCTGCCAGAGGAGGATGTGGACATTTTCCTCGCCACGCTCGACGACCAGGACCTTGGCGAGACCGAGGTGTTGCAGATCTTCGCGGCGGTGGTCGAGGATCGATTGGGCAAGGAGAAGAGGCGCACCTGGGCTGAGGCCAGGCGGCTCAAGGCTGCCAAGAAAGTGGACCGCGACTTCTTCGACAGGAAGAGAGCTGCTCGCCCAGGATTCAAGAGGCTCATGATGACCGACGTGAAGAAGCGCACCAGGTGCGCGATTTGCGGCGAGCGTGGCCACTGGGCGGAGTCGTGCAAGAGTCCGTTCAGATCCAAGGCGGATAGGATCGCCAGCGAGAAGGGCAAGAAGGACGGCGCGGGCAAGAGCTTCTTCTTCGACGTGCTGCCGGACGCGGACAGCTACATCCAGGTGGACGACTGGAACCAGCTGCTCAAGACGCTGCACGTGGCAGGGCCTGAGCTTTCGCTTCGGCAGCTGGGCGATCACGCCTTGGTAGACACTGCAGCGGGTCAGGCGCTCATCGGACGCGAGGGCCTGGAGGTGATGAAGACCGCGTTCGAGAGACGTGGATTCCCGATCCTGGTGAAGGAGGGCCCAGTGGCAGGAGTCACGCGCGGCGGAGTCGGCGGCAAGGTCAACCCCGTAGCGAGGGCATGGGTCCCCGTCAGCATCTGGAAGTGCGGGATCGTGGAGTTCCTAGTGCTTCCTGGCCGGTGCCCACCTCTTCTACCAGCTCGGCTCTTGGAAGCGATGCGCGCGGTGATCGACTTGGGTAGTGATGAGATCGAGCTCGGCGATCGCGACAAGGTGCGACGCGCCCTCGTGCGGCACCTGGCCGGGCACAGGTCGATCAGCCTGATCCACTGCGAGCCCGAGGACTTCGGTGTGCCGGACGACGTGATGTCTCGCTTGCCGGCCGACGTGCGTGAGGACCTGAGGGGAGGGTGGGCATCTAGCTGCGCGATGTCAGATCCCTCTTCTCTCCTCTCCCTCCTCGGTGTTGGGGAGTGTCGGGTCCCGGGAGCAGCGACCCAGAATTCGGGATCGAACTCCGTAGCCGTTTCGGCTCAGAAACCTCAGACGGCCAGCGGTACGTGTCTGCACGATGGTGAAGGGCAAGTTCGGCACCCCGATGGCCAAGATGGGGCAGCCGCTCCGGAGGAGGCGCTCGGCAGCGGCGCTCAGGTGCGCGATGGAGGACGAGGAGCTGGAGGACTGGGAGGAGATTCCGGAGGAGCTGCAGGACCTGGACTTCACGGAGGAAGAGATGTCGATCCCCCTCAAGCAGAATTTCTGGGACGGCGTGCCGGTCCTGCTCAAGCCGATGCTCGCGTGGAGGAGGTTCGCTCTCAGGCTCTTGCACATCGCCTCGGGGGTCGTGGGCATCAACGGGATCTCGATCATGTGGCCGGCCGCGGTGGAGACGCACTTCGAGAGCCAGGACACTTGTCCACACCCTCCCTGGGCAGTCAAGGAGGGATCCAACCCGACGAGCGTGTGCAGCCACTGCCGGATGTGCCGGCTCAGGTTGTCGCTGCGGGACAAAACCCCAGCCGAGAAGGCGTCAGCGGAGGCGAAGAAGCAGGCGAGGTCCGCGAAGGAGGAGTCGGCGCAGCAGGCCAAGCGGGAGTTCGAGAAGGCGGAGCGCGAGAGCATGGTGGACGGCTACTCGCAGGACGGCCCCTGGGCGGCAGCGCCGGTGCCGCGCGAGCCCCCGCGCCCGACCGCCCTCGGAGCTCGCCCGAAGTGGGCCCCGGGTGCCAGCAGCGGCTCGGGCGGCCCGAACCCCTCGGAGCTCGAGGAGGCGATGAAGCTCATCCAGTCCAGGATGTCGGTGCTCGAGCCGTCCGACCTTCCGGCGGGTGTGCCGCCGACGGCGGTGAAGAGCCCTCCGGCGACGCGTGCCGTGCCTCCGGCGCACTCGCCGCCGCCCGTCCCGGGCAGGGGGATGCCGCCGCCGCTCTCGGCTCCTTGGCACAGCAATTGCAGTCCAACCAGATGAAGACCTTGCTCGACCAGATGCACGTGATGGCAGAGCAGCTCGCCGAGGTCCAGCTGGGGCTTGCGACCGTTCCAGTGCGCCCGGCGGGCCCGATGAGCGACGAGGAGATCATGCGCCTGGCGCGCCGGATCAGGGCCGCGGATGTGGCAGCTCCCCACGCGGCAGCCGAGCCGCAGGAGGAGCACGACCTGGAGGGGAACCCGCACCTTTGAGGAGCTCCTGGGCGGCGCTAGGGGACTGGCCCGAGATAGATCAGAAGCGATCGATCGGCAAGCTCGCCCCATCCGAGATCAGTGATCTGGTCCTCCGCGATCTCTCGGTCCAGATGGTCCGCGATCGTCAGGTCCGTGACGGGCCCTCTGCCCCGGGGCGCGCTCGGGGCATCTGGGATCGGATCGAGGCTCGAGAGGTCTCTCTCGATCACGTCAGCGACGAGCTCGGATGGCATTCTCGGACTCTCGGAGCGACGGATCGGTTTGCTTTCTTTGTCGGAGTGGCTCTGGGCAAGAGCGGCGGTCGGCCGCCCAGGAGCCTCATGCCGGCTGGCATTCACAGAATTACGGTCCGCCGCGAAGTTTCTGTTCTGCTAGATTCGTTGTGGCGGCACGTTTGCTACAGAGAGCTGGGCAAGAAGCTTAGCCAGGAAAAGGCTTCGGACTGCTCGATTGATCTCTGGACGTCTAGGGTGGAGGAGGATCAGGAGGAGCGCGAGGAGGATGAGGAGAGGGCGAGAAGGCAAGTCACGGCCTCAGAAGGCCTTAGTCGGCCTGGGCCTCGGAGCGGGCCCGGAGGGGTCGCGGCCTCAGATGGCCTCAGCGGGCTTGGGGCTCGGAGCGACGATGCCACTAGCTTAGCAGATAGCGTGCCCCGATCGGCCGCTCGGGAGCCCGGTAGTTGTGGTCCAGGAGCTAAGGGGACTGGTCGGTACTACGTCGTGGAGTACGACGCGTTCGTGGCCCTGAGGCTTGCAGGGGTTTCGGAAGAGCTGGAGGCCCCCACGGTTCCACGTAAGATTCGTCAGGCAGCCCTCCAGGCTCTAGATGGCTCGGGGGTTGACAAGAAGCACGCCTGGAGGAGGCGTCAACTCATCTCGTCCGAGGCCCGGAGAGGAGGGACTTCCCTTCTCGAAGTTTTCTCCCCCGTTCGAGTTTCGGCCCTTCTGGCCAAGAGAGGGTATCGGGTGTCTCCCGCCGTCGACTCCGAGACCGGCTGGGACCTAGACACCCCGGAGGGGATCAAGAGGCTCTGGGACCTGATTAGGAAGGACCAACCCCAATGTATCTCGATGTCGCCCGTGTGTCGAGCTTTCAGCGTCGCTTTCGCCAGCAATTGGGACCGCATGAGCCAGAGCGAGAGGGACGAGACAGAGCGTAAGGGTCTCGCCTTCATGCAATTGTGCTGCGAGATAGCGGCTTACCAGATGTCCCTCGGGAGAGACTTCGTGCTTGAGCATCCCGAGTCGGCCAGCTCTTGGGAACTAGAGTGCGTGAAGGTGATCGCGTCCTCGCCGGGAGTGGTCTCCCGAGTTCTGGACCAGTGCCGATACTCCGGGGGCCCTCTCTAAGAAACCAACCCGGTTCCTGGCCAGTCAGGGGGCTCTTCTGGAAGAGTGTGGCAGGAGGTGCACTGGGCAGCACGAGCATCTCCCCCTGGAGGGGAGCAGCAGGACACGCAAGGCGCAGCGCTACCCTTCCAAGCTCGTGGCGGCGCTGGCGAACGGGCTCGAGACAGCGCTGTGGCAGCGTGAGGCTAGCTTGAGCGCCCCAGTCTTCCCCTCTGGCGCCGAAGGTCTCGAGGCTCGGCCCGACGACGGCCCAGAGGCTGATGGTGCTGGTGCCCCGGCTTCCGAAGACGAAGAGGCGGCTACCCAGCCGGCCCGGTCCCCCGGGAACCCCCAGGACGTGGCCCTAGACAAGGGCCTCCAGGAATAAATCTCGAAGCTGCACGTGAACCTCGGCCATCCTATGTTGGATGACTTCGTCTGGACCCTTCGGATAGCCGGGGCTCGACCAGAGATCTTTCACTGGGTGAAGCACAAGTTTCAATGCCCTCACTGTGCTTCCCACTCCCGTCCCTACTGGCGAAGAAAGGCCCACCTTCCCCGAACGTATCGATTCAACCGGTTGTTGTCAGTTGATCTCTTTTACCTTGAGTTCCAGGGCGAGAGTTTACCGGTTCTCAATATGGTAGACCATGGCACCAGCTATCCGCAGTGCTGTCTTTTTGAGGATGACCGCTCGGCGACGGTATGGGCGGCTCTCGCCCGCTGGTGGATTCGTCCGTTCGGCCTTCCCGAGATGATTCTCTCCGACGGCGGTGCCGAATTCGGAGCGAGCTTCTCGAGAGGATGTGAACATCACGGAATCTACCTGCAGGTGATACCCGCCAATTCACCCCATTTTAATGGCAAGTGCGAGCGCCACGGTGGCATCGTGAAGAATGCTGTGTCTCGGGCCTCTCTGTCGGCCACCCCGACGAGTCGACAGGAGGTGGACATGTTGCTTTGTGAGGTGGTCTCAGGCAAGAACCGTACCTTCCACCGGGGAGGGTACAGCCCGGCGCAGATGGTCTTCGGGGAAAACCCCCGGGTCCCGAGGTCCATGTTGAGCGACGATGCAGTGGATGATGTTGGGGTCGAGGATCTCCGGGCCAGCGCCGTGGACCAAAACACGGCGGCAGCAGCCTTCGCTCGGGCTCATCAACTGAGGTCCGAGGCGCAGCGGGCCCTAGCGGCTCATGATGCCCGTGATCGGCTCGCCGAGGCGTCTAAGGCACGCCGACATGTGGACAAGGTCTACCAGCCGGGGGAATGGGTTTACGTCTGGAGGAAAATCACTTCGGCCAACCGAAGTCACGACTTGCAGCGGGACCGCTGGACGGGCCCCGGGGCCGTGGTTTTCCAGGCCCGCAGCACGGTGTGGGTGGCCATGCGCCACCGTCTGCTGAAGTGTTCGATCGAGCAGATCCGCCCCGCCACGCGGCCTGCGGCTTTGGGCGCGGAGCTCCTCGACAACCCTCGGTTTGACCAACTTCGGCAGGAGCTGAGAAACCCGGGGAAGCGAGTGGGTGCGGTGGATGGTGCTGCTGAGGGTCCTCCCCCCCCCGAGGCCTGGGATGCCCCAGGCGACCTGGGCGCTCCGGAAAGCGAGGTCCGGAGGCCCGCGAGGGCCCCAGGTACCCCGCCGCCCGTAGTGGAGGCCCCGGCGGCGCCTGCTTCGGTGGGGGGGTCCACGTTTCCCAGGCAGATCTCGGAGTATGAGCCCCTGCCCGAGGACCTGCGTCGAGCGCTGGATGCCCCGGCCCCGTCTCCCCGGCCCATCGACTTGGGCCGATGCGTCCCTGGCCCCGACCCCCCAGAGGTCGTTGCGGTCGACTCCGACTCTGGCCCCCCCGAGGAGCCGGCGGCGAGGCTCCCGCGAAGGCCGGCGGAAGGCGCTCCCGAGGGGGCCCCTGCCCCGTCCCGGAGAAGGGGGGGGTTCAAGAGCTCCTCCAGCACGGCCGAGCTGGAAAGAGAAAGGGCAGCGGTGAGGACCAGTTGGGGACTTCCACCGCCCTCGGTTCCTGTGCGTGCGCCTGGCCAATATCTTACTCCTGCGGAGTCTCTTTCCGGCTCGGGAAGAGTTGGCAGGATGGTGTCCGAGCGCGAGGGCGCCGGCGCTGATTCCTCCTCTCGAGCGACGGCGGGCTCTGGCTCGGTCCTTGGGGACCGCGGCCGGGAGCTCGCACCTCGGGCGGAGCCTCAGGTTTTAAGAACGGCCGAGAGTCGTCGGAGCCGGTCCCCCCCTCCGTCTGGGGAGAGAGGGGCGGACGCTCCAGGAGAAGGAAATTGGCCCCAGCCTACCTGGCACCCACATCCGGCCACGGGGGAACCAGTCCTGGGACTGGTGGGATTTGAGGACCTCGGAGGGGATGAGGATCTCGATCAGGATCGGATGTTGTGCGACGAGCTGCTGGCCCGAGGTTTCACTTGCGACACCTCTCTTGCCGCTTGCGACAAGGGGGGTACCCTTTTCCTTGATTTGCCGGACTGTTTTTCAGGGCTCGCCAGTCCGCCCGTGCCTCGACGAGGTGCCGAGGTCCAGTTGAAAAACCTGAGCCCGGAGGAGAGAGAGCGTTTCGTGGCGTCAGATGCTAAGGAATGGGCGGCCATGACAGCCTCCGGGGCGGTGCGCGTCCTCAGTTTGGAGGAGTCGCGCTTGACGCGACGGCGTCACCCGGATCGTATTTTGTCTTCGCGGATGGTCAGGAGATTTAAGCCTTCCGAGGGGGTCGGCAACCCTCCCACCGCGAAGAGCAGGTGGTGCGTCCATGGGCACCAGGACCCCGACAGTGATACCCTCCAGGTGTACGCACCCACCCCGCAATCCGAGTCGATAATGCTTGTGCTCCAGGTGATAGCGTCCATGGAATGGCCCCTGGGAATCGCGGACGCGAAAAATGCGTTTTGCCAAAGCAATAAGTTGGTCCGGCCCCGGGGAGCGATTTATGTTGAGGCATGTTCTGGCCTCGGGTTGCCCGGGGAAACCCTCATCGAGCTTGTGGCGCCGGTATACGGCCTCAATGATGCCCCATTGTTGTGGCATAGAACCCTTACGGAGTATCTTAGGGAGATTGGTTTTCAGCGTTCTCTTCTAGAGCCATGTCTCTGGCTGCAAAGGTCCGCCTCCGGTCGGCTTCAGTCCCTTGTGCTCATTGAGGTGGACGATTTGATCGTCTCCGGAGATGCTAAGGTGCTTTCGAGTTTGAAGGAGCGCCTCTTTGAGCGCTTCAAGTTCGGTAAATGGGAGGAGGGGGAGGCTGACTATGCGGGGCGGCATATACAGCAGAAGGGAACGAAGATAATCGTAGATCAGGAGAAATACGTCCGTGAGCAACTGACCCCCATTGCCCTTGACAAGCATCGCCGAGGGGAGACCTCGAGCGCCTTGACTGCCGCGGAAATTTCGTCTTACAGGACGACCGTGGCCCAGATCCAGTGGCTGGCGCGCGAATCGCGTCCAGATGTCTGCGGCGGCGCCTCGCTGTTGGCGGCCGCTTTGCCTGAGCCGACAGTCGAGGACGCCCTGATGGCGAATGAGGCAGTCAAGTTTCTTCGTGCATCAGCCTCCCAGCACATCACGATTTGGCCCCTCGATCCCCTTGCTACTACGTTTGTTGCCGCGTCCGACGCAGGAGGTCCCGGATCCGCTCGCCGGGGGGGCGCTCAGGCTGGATGGCTCGTGTTTGCGGCGGATGGTGCCATTCGCGAGAACCGCCGTGCGAGAGTGAGCCTGCTGTCGTTGCGTAGCCAGCGGCTCAAGAGAGTCGTGGCCAGCACGATCGCAGCTGAGACTCTGGCACTTTCTGGAGCTGTGGCGGAAGCCCAGTGGCTCCAGATCATGTGGCGGGATGTGGTTTTTGGGGACGTTCAGCGTCCCGACTGGATGGCCTCTCAGGGGCCCTTCTCGGTGATTCTGGCTCGTGATTGCGAGATCGGAGACTCGGCCTCATCTCTGTCCGTGGTGGACGCTAAGAGCGCGTTCGATACGCTGTCCAAGAACAGCGCCGGATCGAGAGCGGATCGTCGCAATGCCATTGAAATGGCGGTCATTCGAGATTCGTTGAGCAATATCGGATCGAAGGTTCGGTGGCTCCCTCACGGCATGATGCCGGCTGATCCTTTGACTAAGATTGACCCTGGTCGCGGCAATGCTGCCTTGCACGACGTGCTGACTCGAGGCACGCTGTGCCTGATCGACGAAGAGGGCCACGTGGACGAAAGGTCCCTCAATCTCTCGTTAAAATCGAGGTCCCGGGGAGCTTCGAAGAGGGTTTTGAGCGAGCACGCTAAGGTTCAGGCGGTGACTACGGAGGGAACTAAGGTGAGGTTTGAGGAGGCAGAGGAGGAGGAGGAGGGAGGAGAGGCGAGCAGAGGCGGTAGAGGGGAGTACGGAGGAGAGGCGGAGAGGAGCAGCGGCGGCGGCGGCGGAGCGGCGGCGACGGCCCGGCGCCCGCCCCGCATACCGCCCCGCACAACTTCGAGGCCCGGCGGCCTGCCCGGCCAGCGCAGGGAGGAGGAGGAGGAGGAGGAGGAGGAAGAGAGCGGCCCGTGCGACGACTCTTGCCCGGCTTTCCTCATATATGACGGCGACGGTGTTCGATCCACGAAAATTGGTCCCGCTGTCTTCCCAAGGCCCTTGAGGGCCCGTGGTGTGTTCTCCCCCTCTGGTCCCTTTGGATCTCTCCCCGCCCCCGTGGTGTAGCCACTTTGGCTTAGGCGCTTTCAACCGTGTGCCCGTGAGGTCGCGGCTCGGAGAAAAGTCCCGTCTCCGCTTGTCCTTTGTCGACTCGCAGATCCATGTGTCCATTCTATCAGTGACACTAGTCGAGGGCCAGGGGGCCCACGTACTGGCTGTTTCAAGCCCTCCTCCCCCAGGATCACAGGACACCATCCCGCCAGGGCAGCCGTCGCCCCTCGCTCCTTGGGACCCTACGGGCTCGATCGGTCCGATCGCGTCCGAGGATCCCTTGATCGCACCCGTCAACTCAGCAGACACGCGAGAACAATCGGCCTTCAGCCGAACGGAAGTTGAGGGTGCCACGGTGAGCGCCGCGAGACACAGTGACACTGCGACCTTCAGTCGCTTCCCTGGGTTTGAGATTGACAGCGACGACTCTTTCCCGCCAGATCTTTTCCCCTCCCTTACCCCGACTCTTCCTCTGCCCCTGGCTGGGCGTCCAATCTCCTTCTCCCCTGGCGGTGAAAGGCAGGACTGGACCGCGCGAGGCGATGCCAGGGCCACGGGGGGCCTCGGCCCCACTCCGGATGAAGAGCGTCCCCCGAGAGACTCAGGCTCATTTTGGCCGCGCAGGAGCTCCCGCCAGAGAGGCGCTCTCGGAGAGCGCCCCTTTCATGGCGAAGAGCATCCCCCGAGAGGCTCAGGCCCATTCTGGCCGCGCAGGAGCTCCCGCCAGAGAGGCGCCCTCGAAGAACGGCCCAGGAACTTGCTCGACGAGGATGGACGGCCTATGCCTGAGGCTACCCAGGGGGTTGACTGCGGTGATGATGGGTGGGTGGACCGACCGCCGTCCGCCCACGTCCCCGATCCACATCCCATTGGCTCACGCCCGCACTCCGCCCTCCCTGGGTTTGATATTGGCAGCAATGACTCTTTCCCGCAAGATCTGTTCCCCCCCCTTACCCCGACTCTTCCTCTGCCCCTGGCTGGGCGTCCAATCTCCTTCTCTCCTGGCGGTGAAGGGCAGGGCTGGATCGCGCGCGGCGGTGCCAGGACCGCGGGGGGCCTTGGTCCCATTCCCGATGAAGAGCATCCCCCGAGAGGCTCAGGCCCTTTCGGGCCGCGCAGGAGTTCCCGGCAGAGAGGCGCTCTCGAAGATCGGCCCAGGAGCCTGTCCGACGAGGGTGAATGGCCTATGCGTGAGGCTGCCCAGGGGGGTGACTGCGGCGATGATGGGTGGGTGGACCGACCGCCGTTCGCCCACGTCCTCGATCCACATCCCATTGGCTCACGCCCACACTCCGCCGACCGCCCTCCCTTGGATGCGTCAAGACAGAGAGGGGCAGCCTTCAGCTGCGAAGGGGTCGATCCTTTGACCGTGGAGGCCGTCGTCCTGGTCGCGCAGCCGACCCCTCCAACTGATGTGAGCCGACGTCGAGACGGCTCCCGCCTTCCGCCCGCCGCCCCCCCCCGGGCACGACAGCGCTGCGCGCGCAAAAGATGGGCCTTCAGCCCGGGGAGCGCCGCGCGAAGCACCATGAGTAGACGAGCCTGTAGCTCGGGAGTCTTTAAATGGACAGATGGACGTTGACGGCGGCACGGCTGCCAACCAGCTCCCTGGCCATCCCTGTAATCCCGCTGACTCCCGTCCTTCATCGCCCCCCCAAGTTGACAGTCGCAGACGGGGCGAGCCTTCAGCTCGGGAATCACAGGCGGGACGAGCCTTCAGCTCGTGTCTCCAAGGCGTATCTCACAGTTTCAGAAGGGGCGAGCCTTCAGCTCGGGGGTCACAGGTGGGACGAACCTTCAGCTCGGGACTCCAAGGCCGTATTTGGCTCTTTCAGAAGGGGCGAGCCTTCAGCTCGGTAGTCGCAGGCGATGCGAACCTGCAGCTCGAGTCCACAAGGCGTATCTGGCAGTTGCAGAAGGGGCGAGCCTTCAGCTCGAGAACCAGGGACGATGCCCATGGATGCTGAGAGCGCCGCAGGGACCGTGGCCATGAGTGACGGCTGCATCGAGCCCCCAGCCATCCCTGGTGAAGCAACTCAGGGCCCCCCTCAGCAGGCGGACTCCCAGGCCAGCGGCGGGTGCGCAGCCGATGCCGCCGACGTCGTCATGGAAGCGCTGGGTTCCCCAACGGGGCCGAACCTGAGAGGGCGCGTCGATGATGGCGCGGCTGGCGCAGTCGGCGCTACGGGCGATCTAGGTGGCTGCCGCCATGACACTGCCGCTCCCCTCCCTGGAGACACGGGCGTCACTGCGGCAGTGGCGCCCAGCCCCTATGTCGTTGACCTCGCCGATGGGACTGGCCTTCAGCCAGGAAGAGTTGAACGGGAAACTGCTGGGGCGGGCGCGACGAGCACACTGAGCGCCGCGCTCGACAGGGGCTACAGAGGGGCACGTCTGCCTGTAGACAGCGCCGAAACGAGCGGCCACGGCCAACGCCCCCTGGGATCGACAACGGCCTTTCCCACGGGTCGACCCCGCGCGCCCGACGCCAGCAGGGCCCCATCCGACCCTGCCCACGAAGTGGGCTATTTGGTCGATCTGATCGATCGCATCGGACCCCCGATCGTCGCCGCTGAACTGCCCTGCGTCTCCCCCTCCTCGCCCGCCCGCCCCCGTCCCATCCACTCCTCTCCTGGCCCCCCCCTGGGTTGGAGCATATGGGCGCCGTGCCGGGAGGCAGTGGCCATGGCCGCGAAGACCCGTCCCAAGGGGTGGGCCGTGGGCCCCTCATCAGAACCGCCAGCGGTTCTCCGTTCGTGTTGAGGCGTGCGGCTCCCAGAACGCCCAGCACGCCCATCCCGCTCCCCTTCCCTTCTCCAGACCTAGCCCTGGAGGAGGAACTTCGGATGGCTAGCCAGGGCGCCCCCACTGACGCTGAGGACGACACCAGCCAGGCCCATAGAGAGAGGGGGGGCAGTATGCCACTGACATGCATGCTCGATGGATGGACGCCACCGGGCACAACGCAGCATGGGCAGTCAGTCGAGAGGCTGATGGACCCATGTGTGGGCCACGCGTCGCTGACCCTAGGGTCACAGGCAGGGGAGGCACCATGAATGCCCTCCGTTGCCACCTAGTACGTATCGACGGCCCCTGGCGTGAAATCCCCGACCGAGGGGCACCTAGAACCGCAGACCAAACCAGTAACCTGGAGCTCCTCACCCACCGCGCGTGGAGGGGGCATCGCCCGGGTCATCCTGGCACGCGGGAGGGCAGCCCTCTGCGAGCGGTCCCAAACGACGCTCTCCTCCCCGGTTTCGGATCTCAGCGAGCCACTTCGGCACCAGCCCTCGCCATCATGGACCTCTCCTGGCTGGTCTGGTCAGTCACTGGCGGGGACCACGAAGGGCGCTTAAGGGGGTACGCAACCTGATCCGACGCAGGTGCTAGCCTTCCGCTTCGCGAGTATCATTCATGACCCCTTTGTAAGGGTGGAAAGACTGGACGCGGACGACCCCTCCGTTGTGGAAATGCAATTAGCACTTCTCGAGTACACCGTCATGACTACCGCAGCGCACCATTGCGACATCGGGATGGAGCCTCCGAGTGGATACGACTCGAACAACATGCTCTCGCCCACCAGGTCTCCCCGTGATGCTGCACCACTGCACAGCAGCGGCCCCAACCGGCCAGACGGTGCCAAAGACCCCATTGACGACGAGACCAGAGCTTACGCGTACAGAGTCCTAATTCACGAGCGCCGACAAATATAATTCATTTTCCGTCCCACAGGGACATCAGACAGTGGGCCACCAGGAGGGGCAATTTCGAACGGGTTGCCGACGACGTGCGCTCTAGACGACAATCAGGTAGAGGCCCCGTACCATGGGCAGAGCCAGCTCTAACAGTAGTGACGGCCAGCACAACTGGCATCCCCGGAGTACCGATCCAAGGTGGCGACAGAAATGACTACGCGTGGCCCTGGTCCACCACGGCGCGCCGCCTGTTGCTGCGGGACTTCTTCTGCCCGACTCAGCGGTGCGACTTCTGCGGATCGTGGATGCTTCGAGACCCGACGGGCCGACGCTGCATCACCTGCCTGAGGTTGGCCAACCCGCGGAGTTACAGCGGAGGCGAACAGCAGTCGGGCGACCCCCACCAGGGTCGCCCCAGCGCGGAAACGGGCCAGCCACTCAACAGGCACGGCCTCGACCTCCTTGATAGCACCCTGCACTTTCAGCTGGTCAGGGCAGGCATGCGTTGCGCCCCAATCGCAGAGCACCTCTACTTTCCAGCTCAGCCGGGCCCCGCGGATTTTACCCCGACCTGGCTCGTGGGCGAGCTTCTAGGAGCCTGGAGGCACATGGCGTCCCAACCCGGCACATGGGCCAACAGCGGCTTCATCGACAGAGCAGACCTTGGAGATTTGATGCAACTGCGCCCAGCAGTGGCCGCCCTCGCCCTGCTTTGCTCTGCGCCAGAGTCCTGGGCCCTTGAGGCCTGCGTAAGAGTACGACGAGTCCTCAGGACTTGCCCCGATGGACGACTCGGCGGTTGGTTCCCACCGCAGCTCTATCGTGAGGATCCAATCGCGCACCCACCACCGCACTGGAGGAGTCCCCCAATGAACAGGCCAACCACGGCGATCGCGATAGGACCGAACACAGTGGTGGACCTGGATGATCTGAGCTACACCATTGGCGGCGACTACCTCGACCAGGCAATAAGCGATTCCCGAAACGACGTAGACCTGAGTAGACGCTGGTGGCACGCCAGAGACAGCCCCCACACTCAGGCAGCTGAGGTCATGAGAGGTGCGCTACAGGCCGCAGCCCGCGCCGAATGGCTCCCGCTACATGCCCAGATGGGACAAGGACCCCCCCTGGGAAACCTCGTTACCGATGCCGTCGTACGACGCTTAGGTGCAGTCAGCTGTGCTCGAATACGCGCATGCGGATCGACCCAGTGGCGGAGGCGCTCCCATGGACGTGGGCGACTCCAGGGATGGCGGAAGAAGCTCTAGTAGCGAAGATGGAAGCAGAGGAACAGCCCAATGCAGGCCTCCCCCGGATCCCATGCAAGGCCTCTCCCCTGCTGAACTTGCCCAGCGAGGAGCTTTTGTCGACGAGGTCAACCGAATCAGGAGAATGGTGGCCAGGAACACCGTCACCCCTGGCATGCAGTGGAGCCGGATCTTGGTTCCGTTCATCTGGGGCACTGCCACGAGCAGGGGTCGCATCTTTCTCGAGCAGGCGTTCAGGTCCATCAATATCAGCACTAACATCATCGATCGGGCAGCCACATGGTGGAGAGCGCGAGGCGCCCTGTCGTACAGGGACGCCCAGGTGGTCCTCGCTGCAGAGGCGGACACATCCTGCAGGGCCACTGGATCCACACTTGATGCGCCCGAAGCGGGTAGTTATATCGCGCCGCGGCTTCAGGAGTGGATGATGGAGCACCTAGACGCGAGTCACTCCCTCCAGTCCGCCATCTTGTCAGGAGACCGGCAGGCAGTCGAAGCGGGGGCAAGAGCGCGAGCGGAGCAAGCCAGGGACGAACAGACAACGAATCTGAGAAACCAAGGACCGACGCATGTAGGAAGGGCGCAGCGTGGAGCAGAGGACGCGGCGGCGGAAGCTGCGAGCACGGCCACTCCCTGGCACGCAGACATACGACAACTGCTCAATCGGGCGCAAGGTGCTCTCCCCCAGGGTAGACTACCACCAGGCAGCGCGAGAGAAGAGCACCTGGACAG